ATTGCATTACATTGTTTTACATGCATAAGTACAACTGAAGTTTCAAATGGAATACAAACCACCGTAATTATGATAACAAACAAATGTAAATTTAATTTCTAAAATTTTTCACATGCTTGGAGCTCGAACCCACGACCACTTGCAAAAAGCCTTACCTACTGAGCCACCGTGACACCTTAAATATAAATTAATAATAATATTTTTTAATAAATTTCTATTATAAATTATTTAAAATAATAATAACAGAATATTCTTCTACATAATATTCTATTATAAATTAATAATACTAACTTTTTATATCAATATAAAAACAAAAAAGTGTTTTTATTGAAAGCATACGAGGAAGACACGTCTTGAAGATAAAACCGTTTATCTTAGACTGATTGAATCAATGATCTTGTAATAAATAGTAAGGAGACTCCGATACACTCTTAGGTACATCATAGCTTTATGGTTTTATGTCATCGCTGTTATTTTATAATTATTACTAATACTACATTAGACTTTATAAGTTGATTAATTTTTGTTATTAAAAGAAACTACATTTTTTGTTCATATATTTTTCGCCAACCTCTCTTGGCAAGTGAATAATATCTCACGTATGTGCGAATCAATATCAAAAAATTATATGTACCTACGTCTAATAATTTTACTATGCGTATATTCCATCATATATATGTTTAAGTTTTGGAAAATAATAAAATGTTATATGGCGAGAGAATATTATAATGAATAATGAAAAATAATTTGAACAGGTGTGCTTACTTCGATAACCCTGCGTTAAATAGAAAATAAACAAATAGTCTATCGTATAAAATATAAAGTACACAAAATGTGAGACCAAATTGAAATGTAATGTGCATTATCACTTCTAACTGGTAATTGAACAATAGTGCGGCAATATAAAGACTTGCAGCAGATGATCAGGGCCAGTGTGAGTATTATGAGATCCCATACATACACACACACACATACACACACGCACACACACACACACACACACACACACACACACACACACACACACAGACACACACACACGCATGTATAAAGGGACATGGGTGTGCGGTGGGAAGGGGCGATGAAAAGGAGTCTGAAGTTGAAAATTTAAGTGAACAAAGGGAAGAGTCAACAAAAAACGTATGATAGCACGGGAAAGAAGCCGTATTGGCAGCGGGAGCTTATACATCTGCGCTCGACACGTCCCCCTGACTCTTCTCGACCACTACATACATGTGCGGCAATATCCTCCAAACGACTTGCCTCGTACACAGGCCAAAGAAAGCAAACGTACGCGCTCGAGTCACCCCAATCGAGACTCTCCATTATTACCCGTGTATTGTGTGTTGCTTAACATTGACTCAATTGCTTTCGAATAACGGTCGACACCTCAGTCCCGTACGCTGCGAGTATTAAAAAGAAGGGGACGTTCAGGCTCTCGTGCCAGTGCAATGCGAAACCAAACCGGGCATCGATATTCCGCCTCGAGTGTCAAAGCTCATTGTACAATTGACTCACTATTTTTTTTCGATGCTGATGCTGCCATCATTGAGTTGAGGTGCGCTTGCATGTTTTCGATCGATGCAAAGTGCCCATCTTTTCTCGACCGGGTTTTCAGTCGCTTCTCACCGTCATCACTCTCTCGCAACTTTTCCTTTTTTCTGACAATCAAATTAATCAAAAACTTATACTTATGTCGCGAGTGTTCGGATAATCATTTCATGAACAACATTCTAACGTTGAAAAGACATACATTAATATATATGACGAAATCCTCATAAGTACATTTTTTGAAGGTATGGATTTTGCTTTTTCCGATTCTTTCCTCTTATTTAAGGTATACTAGTGTCGACATCTCTCATTTGTATTAATATTGACTTTCATGTTTGAATCAAATCAAATCTATTATAAAATATACCGCGTACATGAAATCGTTCTCTACTTAACGTGCTTAACATCCATCAACATTAATTTTTAAATAAAAATCTAATTACGTTAATATTCATAGATTTAGTTATTATTTTAAAATAAAAGAGCGATGACGTAGCAGATCTTTAGATATTAACTAATTAGCCATAGATAATGAGTAATGTATTAAGTTAATTTCTCCTTCATCTCTTTCTAAATACCTGGTACTGTCAGCTGCGCCGAACAATTTAATTTTCTTTGTTTTTTAACATATTTGTCTACTATTTAAGACTTTTTGTCGGGTATCTTTATATCAAGAGATGTTTCCTCTTTTAAGTTTGAGCTGGTTTCGAGTCATACATTTCGTAAATTCTATTTCAACGTTTACACTTTCAGCTACATTACTGTTATTTTTTATCTATTCATCCGTAACAATTTTAAGATTATATTTATATCTATAAATTTAATTTAAATATTTTTTAAAATAAATTTCTGCATCACATCAGCACAGAAGTTAGTTCACAGTATTTTATTTATAAAATAATTTATCGATTTATGTTTCTCTTCATGGTTAATAATGTTTATTCGAAGCTAAACTTTGTAACAGAGATTCCTTCGTGAATTTATACCAATTTTATCAACAATTTAACCTTGTACTTTATTTATTGTAATCATAAAGTCTAATTCAACTGTGGAAACTATCGCTGTTTGAAAGTGAAAGGAAATACGTCTTCACAATATAAAGTTATATGAAAAATATGTGGCGACTCCACTTTTTAAAAGCAAACAACACCTCTGACTCTTACAATTTTTTGGATTTTTATCAGAGATTACAATCAATGCAGAGGGATATATACCTTCTAAATGTTCTGCCTTCTAACAATAATCACAGTGGAAGAAATAGCATTTTTCTCAAAACTTATTCATGAAAATATTATTTTTTTAAATAAAATATATGTACGTGCAAATAATTTGAAATAGAAATATTTAAATGATTTTATATATTTATATTTAAACCAAAAAAAAACAGAAATTATCATCATTTTGAAGAAACTTCTGAAATCAGATAAGGTTACATTAGGTTAGATTCAAATAGAAACGTACGCATTGCATGAACCAATTAGATAGCGTTTATTTTGGTTTCGTAACTCCGGTCTTGTTTTTTTTATAAGGAGAAAATAGCGTAAATATTAGAAAATATCGTAGCAACTACTTTTACATGTACTACTTTTATTTAGATATAACTCAAGCTGCAATCTATTTATAACAATTTTAAAAAGTGTTATGCGAATAGTAGGCGTCAAGAGATTTAATACTAACTCGAAATATTGATATTATTGTTCCACATTGCAATAAATAAAATCCAGTTCAAGCTATGAACCATAAAGGTCAACTTTCATTTTAGTTATTTTCATTTAATGCCAAATAATGCTTAAATCCTGAAAGTATTAATTCTATTTTTATCAGCATTCTCCATCGATGAATACTTTAGATGAAAAAAAACAAAAATGATATCAATTCTAGACCTCGTAAAAGTGTATTGTTAATGAGATTCCAACGCCACAATTGTTCTTTTAATTCCTCTTATCCACTATGCGCAACATAAACAGTACTACTTATAGGTACACATGACAGAACTGGTTAGCTGCATAAATAAGGACTACATTCGGACATAAGGACTGGGCATGATTAATCTAACGTGCCAGCTCGATAACATAGCTGATAATGCATGCTATTATACTCTGTTAATAATGTTACAAACGCGTGGTTTGTATAAGCACTTACACACACACACACAACCGCGCGCACGCGTCCCCATATATATATATATATATATATATATATATATATACCTTTAACATAAATCTCATAAAACACAAAGAAACTACAACATAGCTGGGAAGGCAGTGCTGTACGTGTATCCAAAGAATATGTATCGATACTATATACATTTACACACACATACATACATTCATATTCGATTGGACCGTAAAGCTCTGCGCGTGCCATAGTCGACTAAAAGAAAGAGCGAACGAGAACGAGAAAGAGAGAGAAAGAGAGAGAAATAGAGAGAGAGAGAGAGAGAGAGAGGGAGAGAGAGAGAGAGAAAGCAGAGAGCAGAGTAGAGCACTACACATAGGTAATGTAGGCAAAATTGCAAAATGGGTGGAGGCGAAAGGATGGTGTAGAAGCGGCCGAGCAAACGATCTAAAACGGGTTTTATAGCGGTTCACTTATGGCGGCAATAGCAGAGGCAGTAACGTAAGCAAACCCCTCAACCCCGATCTGAAACGTTCGGCCTGCACAATCACAACTTGACAGCAAAGTTTAACGAGCCCTATGCTCCAGTCCTGTCCACTTCGGGATGGTCATTTAATTATTCGAGATGTCTCAGCAACGTGTGTTCCCTTCCCTTCCTCCCCCATAACTTGCTTTCCCCTCTGCGGGCTTCAGTTAGCTTCCTATCAAACAGTCATCCGCGTTTCCCCAACCCTTGCATGTACAATCGCATACAAATATTCACATACACGCATGCACTGTCCCGAGTCGACTTCGCTTTTAGCTGATTTTATATATCATACGCATATTTGCATACATGCAGACCGATCCTAATACACACACATGCATGCATCCATGCCCACATCAATGTCGCCCTTATATACTCTTATAAATTATCTTATATTAAAGCATACAAGTAGTTGTGCTTATCGATCTCAGATTTTTTAGTTTTCCCTTTACCTGTGCTACTTTTCTACTTTGACACATACATTCGCTTACATACGCACGCACGGACACACACACACACACGCACACACACACACGGTTCCTCCTACCTTTTAAAAAGAAATTTACTTTGGTTAATGTAAAACATGCTTGTCTCCCATTATCGATTATAATAGAGAATTACCATTTCGTTAATTGATAGAAAACATTCTTTCTTACAGTATCGTGCAATGCATATTTTAATTTTTCATAAATTCAGTTTTCAACTAATTGTTAAATATTATGATCTAATACAGCTGATATTAATATTTAGCACGTTATCCGCATCAAAGCTACTTGCATAAAAAAAATGAAATTTGTCTTTTCAGATGATAATCGAGAGTTGACCGACCATGCCGAGGATGACCTTAAAAGGCAAAGAAACAACTATAATGGCGACCAATTGTATCCAAATGTGAGTTTCTAGTTTGCTAGAACTATCTTATCATTTCATTATTTCGTAGCTTTTGTAAGAAATTTTTACGTAAGCTCGTTAAAAGACACAACAGTTATTGCGTTTGATATCAAACATATCAGAAATCGGTTTCCAGTCACTTCAATTTACCTTAATCGATATTACTAATTACTTCATTTAAAAAAATTAACAACAATTTATACTTTCATTTTTCCTACCATACCATTTTTGTTTTTTTTGTTTGAAATATACAGCATATTTAGGCAGGGCTTTGTTACTTTTGAATTATCATGCTTGACCTGTTAATTGGAAAAAGAGTAAAAACGGATTGAAGTACATTTCGAGATTCAATTTACTAGTATATGTTTTGAATTGTAAGTTGACTTCTGATTTGGTAGCTCTTGGTTAATGCATTTATAAAAAATCTGACTGATTAACGGACAATATAATCAGGACATCATTTTTTTAGTTCATTCAATCACATAGATTATTTCGGATATAGAAAATAATAAGTTTTCTTTTCAATCATTTGAAAGGTTTTGTATATTTATGTCACTGGCTTCATGAATAACTCAATTTTTCATAATTTTAAAGCAGATTGATTTAAATTCAAACAAACATCTAAACTAATTATTTTCAAAATTAATTATTGAGCTAAAATTATCTATATTTGTTTAATTAATGTAATTTAGTTACTTGTAAGTCTTTAATTATTTATTTAGACATATAGTAAGACAAACTGTATAATATTGTATAAAAATAATATACCAATAATTACTTCATAATTAGCACATTCAACAAATTTTCTTTTCAAATCAATTATAATTTTGTCAATTTTTAAAAAAGATTGCATAGTATACTCAAACATCTTAACGTAAAATGAGCTTTTAGCACATGAAAACTTTTTTCTCAAATCAGTATATCTTTTTAAATAAAATTTATACCACTGTATACATGAGTCATAATTATTAAGTTTGGTCATAATTTTTTAGGTAAGCTCATAAGACCAAAAAAATTTTGCTAATTTTGCTCATAACTTAAACTAGCGTCATAATTTAATTTTTGTGCCATTGTGTTATTTATGTGTTTTTATCTTATTGTGCACGACTCTAAGCGTCAAAGTGAATGGAAAATATTTTTAGGAGGTTCATTCCCGAATTTTGTTGCAAAAAATGAAATGCTGCAATATTTTTTGAAAAAACTATTTTATAAATATAAAAAAATAATTCTGTTGTAAAAAATCTCCACTTATCTATAAGTTCCAATTTTCACGAACAAATCCGACCTTCGAAAAACCATTTTCGTTCATTCAGACGCCCGTGACTGTCCTCGGCGCTAAATCTTTTTAATAAATAAATCTGTTATAAAATATTTATATTAACCTGTTAACCGGGGAAATCCCTTTCTAATTACGCAACATATAACGGGCGCGTCCTTTTCCACTAAGACGTGTATGAATGACGTATTACCATAGTAGTAATAAAACATACGTCCCGCCCGTTCCAGGGCGCAATATAAATATCGAGGACGTATTCATATGTCCTACCCGTACTTATTGTTGTTTACTTTGGACGTATTTATACGACCCGCTCGGTTAACAGGTTAAAAAAGAAAAAAAATCTGTTATATTATTAACAACTTTCTAAAGCCTATATTTGAGGTTTTTAAACTTGCGATCAAGAAAATTAAAGCGTGTTCCAAGTACTTCAAGAGGAAAATTTTCTATCGTGATATCTTTGTCCGAACGACTTGTACAAGCCAACAAACAAAATTTCAATTTTCACTGCTTAATATCAGCTGGCCATTTTAAGAGGCTGTCGAAGAAAAATCGATTACTGTAGAAATCATTGTACGCTAATAATTTTCATGAAATATTATAGTCATCCGATATTTTATTGATCATAAAGAAGGATGGATGACTTTCATTATTATAAAAGGTTGGACAACGCAGTATATTTGCAGAGATCTTGAACACAACTATGCGCATGCATGTGTATATATAAATTAATAGTGTACAAATAAAAATAGAGCAGCTTCTAAGCTAAGATCTTCGATCTAGAAAGAAAAATGTCTTATCGATGTACAAAATGCTACTGAGAAATGCATCATAAAATAGAACGAAGGCGTTGATATGCTGTGAGCCTTGAGTGGAATAAAGATAAAATGAGTCGCTCACGGTCGACTTCTGATTTGGTAGCTCTTGGTTAATGCATTTATAAAAAATCTGACTGATTAACGGACGATATAATTTTGCAGCTGTGGTCGACCAAATGGAGTATCAAAGACGAGCACAAACTGCTGAGCGAGCTGGGCGCTGGCGCGGGTGCAGGCAACCCCGCGGGGACCAGCAGCAGCGCCAATATCGGAGCCACCCCCGCGAGTAACACCGCCGCAGCCGCCGCGGCCAACAATTACTACGAGCACAACTTTGCCGGTAACAGCATCGCCACCTCGACCGAACTGTACGATTCGGTGGGTACGATCAGTGGCAGCATGAGCCAGACGCAGGCGTCGCAACTCTATACGCCGCCCATTGGGGCCAACGTAGGTCGGTATAGGCAACTTGTACTTGAAGCTCTTTCTCTCGCTTGCTCTCTCACGCTTCGCACTTTCACATTCATCCCGCGCGCATACTTGTCCCATCCAAATTTATCGCCCCGCGCCCACACTGAAAATAAACTTCTGCTAACGAAAGAGATTTCTCTCCGTACTGCCTCATCTTTTTTGCTTTTATTTCCACGAGGTATTCCTTGCGAGCTCTCGCTTATTACATTTTGCTTTTGCATTACCACAACGGCTAACTGTGCTACTGCTTTAATAATGCATGAGTACAGGAAACACAGAAGAAAGAAGAGAAAGAAGTAACGCCGCTTCACCCCCTTTGCTGTCTGCCTGCCAGTCGGCTAGTTCTCTTCATATATTTCATTTTATTTCTTTCGTGCACTTTTTCCCAAGCAATCTTTTTCTACTGAATACATGATCGCCCACTATTTTCTTGAATTCCAGAGCCCATTTTTTCATTGCTCTCACATTCGCCTATATGCATACCAATTCAATACTATTTGCGTTCGTTGCGCGATAGATTCACTTCCTCGTTTCTGTTTATAACATTTTTTATTCATCTATATATTTGTATTTTTAAATTCACTTTACACCGCATTCTGTTGGTTTATTTATATACTTTGACGACTCTTGCCACTTCATTTATACGTATACGTATTGAAAGAGTATTAAAGAAAAATTTGGGGGTCCTTGTTTAATGACAGGTGGTACTTTGACGCCTCTTGCACCGCTAACCATGCAAGAACTAAAATTGGGCCAATCATTGGATGGGACAAACATGTCTCCTTACCATACGACCGGTAAGTTTGCTGCACGTCGACGCAGTTTATCGAGGCCTTGTCGCTTATCGCTTTTGTTTTTTGCGTGCTCCTTGTTCACTAAGGGGGCTCCAGCGCCATGGTGGTTCTCAACTTTATTTCCGCGCGTTAACAAAACTCTACTCGTATTCAACTCTAATTCATTAGTTGTTAGTCAATTTACATGAAAAAATTTAGGTATTCTTTATAGTATTTAGTTTGCCAAAACTTGATATATACTTTTGTTAACTCGAAAAAAATTATAGCAATAAATTATAGACTCTTAATATTTATTAAAAAAATTACAGAAGCCATTTAATGAAACAGCACCGCGTTGCGGTATTGATTTATAGGTGTTTTCTGCATCATTCTCATTCATAACTTAAAAAAACACGGTTATCTATATCATCTGAAAACTTATGATTTTAACTATATAGTATTAATTTTCTGTTAAGGAACTACTCGATTAAGCTAGAATAAATGGTCATTTCCTAAAATTATTTCAATGACGAGGAAAAATAAAGGCACACTTTTGTAAATCAAAGACATCAAACCAGTCATCTAAATTTTCCGTAATGGAGCCTTCTTTTTTCGTACTTGATGTTGCAGCCAATCACACGCAATGCATCGGCATTATCTTAAAAATATATAGAAACATACAAAAGTCCAGCGTGATTATTTACCGTAACTTGAAATTAATGAAAGCTCAATTACATTCGCTAATTACCAAGCTATTTGACATTGTCGTTGGATTGAACAACTGAAGAGTACGGTTATAGATGTATATAGCACGCAAGAGCAGCGTGGACTCATTGCCAATAAAATTAAGAAATTTGTTTTGTGATTTCTGTTGCCGTTCAACTGTGTTATATTATTTTTTTGCAACAGAAAGCTTTCATAGAGAACGAGTTTAACTTCCAATGCGCTATTTAAGTAGCTTAAAGTAAAGCTCAGCTCCAGCAAGCTTGTAAAATGAGGGCAAGACAGAATGTTTCGTGCTTGATTTTTGAATGTTGGCTTATGTGTTATGTGCATGGCCGTTGGTGATGGCTATACAGGGGAGAGTAGCAGCGTAGCGGTGTCGTACGTCGGGCCCGAGGTAGAGCAAAGCGCCTCGATACAGGACGTGCAGTCACAGCGGCAGCAGCATCACGAACAGCAAAACGAAATGAGTGCGAGTTCAACAGTTACCGAGGCTGCTCAGTCAAGTGAGCCTGGATTGACCGTGCTACAGCCTCCAGTAGCGGTCTCTCAGCCACAGTTGGCTACCTCTGCGATCCCGCCCTACTCCAGCGTGCTGCCCAGCTTCGGACATTATACTAGCGGTAAGTATACGGATACGGACTGCGTAGTAGTTCGCCTGCGTTTGCGTCTTTGTTGTTCTTGCCTGCCATATACATCTACATATACACACACATACACACACGCGCGCGCGTACACATACACATACACACATGCGCGCAGACACACACACACACACACACGCTCGCGTGCGTCTACCGCTTCGTCTCGCCTATTTCTTGCCCACGAGCTACCCTAAATCTCGTCATGCATCATCCATCATGGCCTACGAAGCAATCATGCGCTCTGCCTTTTGCGACAACTACTCACTCGCTCACTCATGCTCTGGCTAATCTGATTTCAGGAGGTGGTGACTATGCTTACAGTGCAGCCTACTCCCAATACTCGGGCGCATCCTACGCCGGATATGGCTATGGGGCTGCAACAAGCGGGTTGCTCAGTAAGTAAACAGTGAGTATGAGTATACCCAACGGCTTAGGCAAACTTAACACTACGTCAGTCACTTTTCTTTAGTCCACCATGAATTATATAACTACTATATCATACACCTTTTGTCTCTCATTTCCATCTGTCTACCCGTCTCTCTCTCTCTCTCTCTCTCTCTCTCTCTCTCTCTCTCTCAATTGTGACGACTACATTCGCTGTTTTCCCAGCACTTCAACAACTATTCGCACTATCAACTCATACTTCGTGCTTCTTAATTACTATCTGTTTAAAAATAAGTCACTTGATTTTCAAAACTTACGTAATTATGAAGAACAATCGCATAAAAATAGGAGTTACATAGCATAAAAGCTTAAGATTGTGGCCTTGGTTGTTTCGTCAAAGATTCATCTGAACCGATTAGTAAAGTTATGGTACTAATTAAAAGGAAAAAACTCCAATTTTTTTAGATACGGAACAACTTCACACATCTGCTATTTTATTAGAAAAGCTTGAAACACCGGGGAAAAATAAGCTTACAATTTAAAAATTTCCCGAAGCAACTGCGGTGATGTTAAAAAATCAATTAGTTTATTTAGAAACAACGATCTCCAAACAATTATTTCGTCAATGGTTTGTCAAATTACTTCTGGATTTAACCAATCAAAAAGCTTTTGAGCTTTCAATTTTTCAGTCGTAGAATCTCAATATATGGCTGCTCAAGTATAATGAGAATGCTTTCTGGTAGCTTATTGCTGTCAGTAGATAAAAGAAAATAGTATTCTCATAAAACAATACATAGCTAACGCAATGTTCAACTTTGAAACATTGATATTTAAATGATATTTATATGATATATTAACAAATTTGTGAAAAATTACAAATCTCAAAAACTTTGTATCATTCTGTTTTGTATCATTGCAATTAACCTGACCGAAAGTAATAGAATAAATCACTGACGAAATGATTATTTTCGGCAATTGCTATTGAGAAATAAATTAATTCATTTTTTTAATTACATCATAGTTGATTCAAAAAGCTTTAAATATTAAATGCGCAAAATCTTAAGCTTCAACGTTATGTAAGTCTCATTTTAATACGATTTTCTTTCATAGATATACTCTTCCAGAATAAGGTGTCTATCTTTTTTAACCGATAATAGAGTTTATTTTTTCTGAACACTTTTGCAGAGTTTGAAACTGTAGCACCATATAAAAAATTATACACCGTAAAAAATTATAGCACCGTATAAAATTGCTAATTATATTGTGAAATTGATACATTTATGAAGAATTTTATGTTTTAAAGTTTTACGAGGATCAAACTTAGGAATAAGCAGTAAACCAAGATATTATTTTCGATGCATTTTAACTTGTAGAATTTCAACTCTAAGTCAGATTAACGGTATCAGTTCATGTGTTTTTAGTAAATTTAAAAAAAAAAGCACTAATGAATTCTTTATAAAAATCTTATAATTTTTCGAAAAAATGGTGAACGATTTTCTTATCGTTTCAAGTAAAGTAGGATTCATAGTCGAATTGCGTATGGATAATTTTACCAAAAAACTGTAATTCAGCTCCGTATTCTTCGACTACTCAAATAATACTTCTGCCAATTATAAGTGTGCAAGATTTTAATATTTAGATTTTATTATTTTACGTAGTATGGTCCATTTAAAATTAATTCAGTTTTTCATCGCGCATGATTCTGACATTCTTTTTTTTCCCAAAAAATTCTAATATAAATAAAAATAAAAACGCTAGCTACATATATATAAAATGTTGATATTTCATATAAAGCAAATAATTATAGCGTTAAATCCACTTTGAATTTCAATTCTATTGGTCAAAATATGTCAGAAACTATAATTAAGTTTACTTTGTGCTCAAAACGGTGATTCTTGCAGAGCTTTGAAAAACATAAATTCGACGTCAATATGTCAATATTTCCATTTCATTATAACAATAAGTTTTTTAAACGTGAAAACAACCATATAAAATATTTTTTATATAAAATATCTTACAATTTCAGTGATAGATAATGTTCAATATTACTCATTTTTACACACTGAGAGAAATGACAAAATTTCGTATAATTTTAGTAAAAATTACTATATTATATAATAAAATTTCAAACTAAAAATTACTGTTAAACATAGTAAATTTTACTATTTATTTAATAAGTTTTACTTCATGCCCGTTCTTTATATTCATATTATTAGTACGCATTTTTTATATATAATGCAAAAAGGAAACGTCATATTATAAAAAAAGTAACTTAAGTTTTGGCTGTTTACGAATAGGAAAACACTGTCTATAATAATGCAAAATATTTATGTAGCTAAAATTATTCTATATTATTCACAATAGATTAAATCAATCATTTACCATTAAAATTTATAATACAATATAAATACTAAAAATACGTTTATTTAATATACAGATTTTATAAATATAATTGTAACCATCGTATAATATAACTATATTTTATAGCACTGCGTGGTATAAATCAGCACTTAAGTAGCGCTAGCGCTCGTGCCCTAACTTCATGGTCCAAAACTGACCCATCTTAAGTCACGGATAGATGAATTGTAAGTGCTAATTTAAGATCGTCAAAAATATAAAATGCTGTATGATACTTGTGACTCAAGTATCATACAGCGTGATTATCGTCTTCGTTCATACTCGGATGCTAACACGCCGTGTAATAACGGGCTACTTAAGTCACACGCATCGTAATATACTATTATTCAACTGCAACAATATTTACTAAACTATTTTTTCTTTCTTCTTATAAAAAAGAGAACCTGACAAAGTAAAGCCAATTAATCTGATTGGCTAAAAGATAGTCACGGAATCAGCTGTGATGAAAAATTGCTTCAGCATGAATTTAATATGAATTGATTGATTAATTCATAATAACCTCAAAATAAAAACCTAGTGATACCTCGATCAAGGAATTAATTCAACCTTGCTCTATACGGAAGTTTAGCTTCGAATAAATAACATTGGCAAAAGCTATGGATTGATAAATTATTACGATAAAATATTGTAGTGTTATCGGTTTTATTCAATTACGGAAAATATTAAAAATTCTTTTGAAAATGCACTAATTATAACCATGAACGTCTACCGAAAAACGTTATTTACATTGTGAAGAACATAATTATAAAAAACTAATGACTGTAGAACTTGTATATTTTTTATTGCGTTTTTGAAACTTGATGATTTTTAACTTATCTCGTGATTTTTGATTTATATTTCGACCTTTTAAGAACTACAAAATAATTAAATTACGATAGAAAAGGTCAGCCCTCTGAAATAATTAAATATACTCATACGTCTTTTGTTTAACGTTTCGCTGTTCTTGTTATCAATTTCATCGGGAACTAGTAATAACAAGTCTTGTGAATTTATAGAGCAAAGAAATTAGCGAATGACACCTAAATACTATTAATAAAAACTATCTTCTTTCAATTTATTTTTGACAACATTTCACTGATTTGTCAGCCGGCCTCATCAGGTCTAGAATTTTTCAAGATCGCGTTATCGATTGCTATGAGTTAATAAAAAATTTATTGTAAGACAAGTGAGTGAAACGTTGTAAAAAGTTTTTATTTATAGTATTTGGGTGTCACACTCTTATTGATTTACTCTATAATTTCGCCAAATTTAATATGATTGAGAGTAATAATATGGTTAATTAGCTAGTAATAACAAGTTTTATTGTCAAAATAATCAATAGAAGTTTTCTACATTGTTGATAATTATTTTTCCATTATCATATGTGTTTTCTTTAGAATAGACTAGTATTCTACTAACACTGTCAAACATTTTGATAATCATTACGTGCACATCGTCAAAATCTTGTCAACTTCAGAGTTTGACAATGAGTTTAAAAATGTTTTACAATGTTCATAGAAAACTAGTCTGTTATAATTAAAACACATATGACGAGGGAAATAAAATTATCGACAAAGAAGAAAATTCCTACTGATTATTTTGACAATTTATTATTATTAGTTCTTGATAAGGCTCACAACGAGAACAGCGAAACATCGAACAAGAAACGTACAAGTGTTTTATTATTCCTGTGGATTCATTCGTCTTATCGTAATTTAATTATTTTGTAATAGGATTAATTTATTTTACCAATAAGTAAATATATTTACCAATATTAAATATCGTCAGCTGTATCTTATATCAAATTATAGGAATACTTAATGCACGTTGAATTTACGTATTTTATATTTCGCCAATAAAAGTTTTTAACATATATTTGTGCATTAAAGTGAATGCAAAAATAAACGAAAAAGATAAACGCGCGAAGTGTACTATAGACGTCACTAATAACTCAAATATCTAAACACTATAATCTACTTTGTTACGTATGAAATAAATATTACAATATTCAAATGCACATAGTATTAGTTCTATTTTGTTATTCATCATAGCCATTTTTCCAATATATAATATGTTTCGATAATTAATTATAATAAAAACTGTAACAGAATTCATAGATCTTTTTAAATTAAAATTCATCATAAGGAAGATGTGTCTGATCTTTATAGTGTTTTATAATAATTTTTACTTCAACTGTAAGAAATTTCAAGTCATTCTCTTAGTGTATGATATGTATAACGTTGTGTAATTATTCTTGATTTTTTTGTTAAGTCACTCTAAATCTTATCAAAATTTAATATGAAATCAGCAAAAGTATGCAGAGCTTAAGAAATACATATTGATACACCATCAAGCCCGACCGAGCGTTTAATTTGCAGTATTCAGTTCAATACTATTTTTTATGTAACTACGTCTATCAAAGAATACAAATATATTAAATTTTTTAGTAATTTACTAATTACTAAAAAATTTACTAGTTTTTAGTAATTTACTAACCAGTTTCTTTCGAGTGAAAATTTCAAGTGAACCATCAGAAAACTAATATCATGACTCTGTTTCAATAGACTCGACTTACTACTACTGCAACGGGGATACGCTGGCGTCTTCCCAAACTGGCTCAGGACTCCAACAGCAGCACCAGCAATTACAATGCCAATCTGTTACTGATCAACAACTAATTCAGCAACATCAACATAGCACGAACATTGAAAGTAACAGTTTAGCGGATGTCGCATTGCGTTCGCCATTGGCAGCCACACGAGCGAGCAGCGGTGCCAGTGCAGCGTCGCCAACAGGCAGCGCCTGCACTAAGCCCGAACAACCACAAACGCCAACCAATATGTACCTCGCCTAATTACTCGGCGATGGTTTTAGTTACAAGCATGCAGATCCAAGCTAAACAAATATTTTCTACCACTAGCTCCATATCAGTCACGTGTACCGGCCCCGGGTACTTACTCTAGTGCAGGATCGAGCTCACGGCAATCCAATGTACTGATCTCTAGACTCAGACGTAATCTTTTTTACAACGCCACGCTTTACTCGCCAGCTATAAGTTTTACTTTAGATAGTTTAATTTAATTTAATTTACCAACATCGATTAGCACGTTTGTCACGTTTATTATTATAAGTATTACCATCATTATTATTATTATCATCGTCATCTTTATCATCATTATCACCAATATATCATCACTATGATATTTTTGCGTTTATTTATATATTCTTGCGCTCATTTTTATCTCTCAAGTAGACACGCCACTATAATTCTCTTCTCACCAAATGAAAACGTTAAAAAAATCTCAATTGTTCCTACTGACAAGAAGGTCATCAGATCTGCGGTAAACTGATGTTGATAAACCTTTAGAACCTTATTTTTTACAATAAATAAAAGTACCCATGTGCCAGGGAATTTTCTCTTATGTCTTTCTTTTGAATTTTCGAAGCCTGATATAAAATATATTGAATAATCAAATCCTCTTTCAATTCGGATAAGTTTTGAAACAATGAATCTATTACAATATTTAGAAAATTAATAGAAATCTATGATCAAGTTTCACTTTCAAAGATAATTCGTCGATTGAGGTTAAATCGTTCAGAAGTTTCAATCAATCGTAAATAGAATCTCGAATAAAATGCTTTCATCAGAAAATTGGCTTATTATTTTATTAAATTTCGTGTTATTGTAACTTTGCATGGACTGAATCTTTTTAAACAATTTTTATACTGAAAAATGTTATCTTAATTTTCTATTAATATTTCTTTAATTGCTATTCTTCTCTGCTATAATTTCATCTCATTTGAAGCTGTGCTTGATCGATATGAGTAAATAATCGACATAGTATTCGACTATATGTATTCACATACATTGATTCTGACTACAGCAATTTTGAACTGTTATTTTTTTTCTTAAGAGGTTTTCGTATTTACCGACATTGATCAAGCAGAGTATCAATTTCTATTAATATTTTTTAAATTACGGCAAACCTATCTATAAGACTCATTAAGGTTTAAAGATATGGTCTTAAATAATACACTTAATACGCGGCTATAAATTCCCAAAAAAAGGTCCATATGATAAAATCTTATAATGTGGGTATTTTTATTTTTTATAAAAAGAATATTTTTCTAAAGTATCGTCATAATCGGTCTCATGCATGTCTCACGTCTTCTTGTAAATCGCCGACTGTTCTTTATAGCTTTTTTATACTTTTAGAAACTACAATGTACTGTGAAGAAATCTCTTTGCTATATATATACATCACTCTTGCTATGTATATATTTATTCTTAACAGAAATTTTTATGGCATAAATGATAATTGTTTTCTTATGTTGAATGAAATTCATAATGAAATTCATTATATTAAATTTTTAGGATATTCTTTGAGTTTTGATGATATTAAATAGGATTGCACATTTAGCAATCTTGGTAGAATACACACATATATTTTTTATACTTTGATCGCTGCAATAATTGTAAATAATTCAAAGACTGATAGAACACTTGATAATTGCATTGCAGAGCACAAATTTATTAGAGCATCCAATTGTCTAAGTTTGAAAATTTGATTTTTCTGTTACTGTGTGAACACTGTATATTTACATACGTCACGATATATTAGGAACCTGTAGATTGGTCGTTACACAATTTATGATGAAACTAGCGAATGATACATATATGCTGACGTATCCACTTGAGAGAAGAAAATATATGTTGCGAAGCGCACAGATCTTCACTTAAAGTCATATATAAGTAAAAATTTTACTAAGGAAAAAGAGTTTATTTGAATTTTCCAGTTTTTTAGTAAGCCCATGATATTATGGTGTAAATATGTATACATGTATGTATGTACAAACGTATATAAAAGCTTTGCAATATATATATACACACACATAACAGATTTTTCGTGCAAAATTCAAGATGTAAGTGCTTGCTATGTACAAAATTGTTGTTGTGCTAAGTATTGAGTACACTTTTTGTTAAACAAAATATGTAAAATCACCACCACTTACGAACATATTACTATGAGTAGTTAATAAAAACTCAATTGTACCTTTATCACGCGTAGTCGTAAAACAAGGAGAAGTTATAAAAACAGGGAAACAGTAATTATAAAAATTACAACATTTTAATTAGAAAAGATTTCAGGCCCTTTCTAAAGTATTTCAGGGGAGTCTTTTTAACTCCCTCTCGCTAATATTCTCATGATGAAGCTGAATTAGGTCTATAACGTGAGTGTATTTATACTAGAAAATAAAAGCCTCCTAAGTTAGAGGTTTTGAAGAATAGATTTTTTGCAATTTTATAACAACGTAAGAAAATTTACTTGTAATTTTATTATTTTACTAACAACAAAATTTTCTTTGTCAAATTTTATACATTGTAATTAACTTCATTATTTGCCAGGCGCTTGCGCGTTGAATGTTGGGACCAGTCAAAAATTTTTTTTATTTTTAATCAGCTCAAAATGAAAAACTACTGTTCAAACGTTATATGGTCGAACAGTAATTATTATGATATACACTGCCCGTCAATCACTTTTGCCATGTTTACCTCAAAATTAGGCAAACTTGAAAGTTTTGTATCTCGGTCGGAAATCATCGTATCACAAAAAACCGCAGGGCATTTTAAAGGTAATTGCAAAAGCTTCCATTTAAGACGTGCAGAGACTTAAAAATGAAAATATGTGTTTTTTACAGTAAAAAAACTGATTAAAAAAATTTCAATTTTTTTAACCTCGACTTAAATCAATGCCAATTTAGAACCAGGCGGTGGAGGGCAAATCGACGGAAGGGGTTCGGAGGGTAATGTCTTTCCCTTTAAAATGAGCTTCCGCGGGGTTCTATCCGATGTTTTTTAACCGAGTTACGGCGTTTTGTGTCCAAGAATACGAAAATAAAGTCAAAATAAAGAAATAGAGAACAAATTTTTTTTCGGTTTTTTAGCGCATTAAAAAAATAAAGGAATTTAACTTTTTTTTTACGCTTAGTTTTAAAATGTCTAGGGACGTAGTAAATCACAAAAAAACTAAAACTAAGCGTAAAAAAAAAGTTAAATTCCTTTATTTTTTTAATGCGCTAAAAAACCGAAAAAAAATTTGTTCTCTATTTCTTTATTTTGACTTTATTTTCGTATTCTTTGACACAAAATGAAACTTTTTTCTCTTTGGCATTTTTTTCCAAAACGTACGCAAGTCGAAGTAATTGAGGATTGGAAAAAAAGGTTGCTTTTTACAAAAAACGCCGTAACTCGGTTAAAAAACATCGGATAGAACCCCGCGGGAGCTCATTTTAAAGGGAAAGACATTACCCTCCGAACCCCTTCGGTCGATTTGCCCTCCACCGCCTGGTTCTAAATTGGCATTGATTTAAGTCGAGGTTAAAAAAATTGAAATTTTTTTAATCAGTTTTTTTACTGTAAAAAACACATATTTTCATTTTTAAGTCTCTGCACATCTTAAATGGAAGCTTTTGCAATTACCTTTAAAATGCCCTGCGGTTTTTTGTGATACGATGATTTCCGACCGAGATACAAAACTTTCAAGTTTGCCTAATTTTGAGGTAAGCATGGCAAAAGTGATTGACGGGCAGTGTATATAGCTCATTTAAATACTCAACCTTCGTTTGCTGATAATTGTGCGACGTTCATAGCTTATTCAATATTCATATGATGTAATTCTAATCTGACGTCGACAAAAATACATATCGAAATAAGAGAATTGTTATGAGATATTATTGTCGACATAAGTATTCTATTAATTCTTACTGTCGTGAAATCTAACATAAGAATTCAAATGATACTTTTGCAATATATCTGTTCATTAAGTCGATTATTTTTTAGAGTTCAAAAATATGAATAATAGTAATATATCGCTCCGTAATAGTAAATTCATAAATTTTGTTATTAGCTGAGTTTTCAGAGTAAAAGTCTTCAGTTTGCGCAACAACTTACATTGTGATCAGCATGAAATTTAGAGTTTTGCATAAAATACGTACTCGTTGGTGAGAATAAATCAGGAAATACAGTTCTACTTTACGTAAATCAATCTTTCAAATCTGCTTTTTTTCAATGAAACTTTATGATTTACTTTGGATTTCAAAACAAAATTTTTTTGAAAACAAAAAAAAGATAATTGCTTACCTTTTTAAGCTAGCATTTATTAACAGAGTAGTCCAAGAACATTTTTTTATATTTAGACTCATGTTACAATCTGTAATAATGTGAACTACTAAAGTGAATTCAGAATCAAAAATTTGAAATTGGATTCGAACCAGTAGTTAGTTGAAATATTTTATTTGTAGAATTCTGACCATCGAGCACATGTATGTATATGTGTGTGTGTGAATACGCGTGCGTGCGTGTGTGTGCGCGCGTATGTTTAATAAATAAAAACGATAAATATACGGGGCATCGTTTAACGTGATCCACTTTGTTCGTTTTTTTATATATACTTAAAAGAAAAATATATACAAAGATTAGTGATTTTAAGAAGTATGATGGATTTACAGGACGAGAGCTCATAACTGTTAAGAATATTGCATATATATTTTTTGTAGAAAAACCAAAGACCACATTATAAAAATCTAAGGAAAAAGGAAATTATATAAATATATAATAAAAAGAATGAGTCAATCAATCGATTAACAAGCTGATACAGTTACAAATTAGGTTACATCGATCAATTGAACATTCGATTGCACTATTGTGCATTAATTCATTCAGTGTACATATTTCGCCTAAAGTTAAAAGCAACAAATTCATGCGATGAAGGTAAAGCAATGCTGAAACGATTAATAGAAAGTTTTATAGCCAAACCAATAAAAACAATCATAGAACAGTCGGTAGAGGTTTTCCAATATTGTTTTAGTATAAGTATATGAAAAAAACTTGTAAAATTTCAGTAAGATAAGCTGTCAATTCCATACGTGGTAATATTGAGTACGACTAATTAAAAAATTAGTTTATTGTAAATGTACTTAAAAATAGTGAATGCAATTGATACCTCCGAATCAAATGCACAATATTATCTCAACATAGTGATGTTCTAAATTTTAATGTTAACATTTGTTCAACATGGAAAGTGATGATTGAAATTATTGCGTACTGTACTGATATTTAAGATATTTAAACGTCACTCGAAGTAAGTTTTTTACAATATTCAATTTTGTCTAAATTCATTAAATATATATTGATTTAACGAATCTACAATAGTTTTTACGTTTTGAATAAAATTTTTCAAATATAAATATGTGAATAAATATTTTCAAAAATACAAATAAACTGAATAGCTTTTTCTACTTTCAAAGATTGATACATGAAAATATATCGTCAAGCTTCTTCTATTGTAGACTTATCAAGAAAAAAGAATAACTTTCAATTTAATATAAACCTCAATTTATACGGGTTTGAATGTTATAAAAAATTTACACTCGTATATCTCAAACCAAAAATAATTTATATATAAACATTATATTGAACACTAAGTTATAAAAAATGATAGTATTTAATGTATTTTACAAACTGAGAATTATTTTGCGTTATTATTCTAATATACAACTAAAGTACTCAAAATATAAGTTGATAATGGTTTTTTGTACTTAATTGTAGTCAGCAATTGCGTGATCCAAAAATATTAATGCACATGCTATTTAGTTAATAAGGAATATGAAGCTCTCTTAATTTAGATAGGAAATCTTATTTGTCCTTTGTCATAGTGAATTTTCAATTCGACTATAATATTATATGGTTTATTGTTATTTTATTCTTACACATTTTATATGGTAAAGGCCATTACCAAAACGATTCACTATTATTTTTATTCTTAAGATTTTTCAATTACATATCACTATCATTATTTTTGTCTTTACTATCAATTATTATCACGAAGTTATTTTTCTCATTATAATTATATTAGTTCTTATTGCTATTATTATTATTAATTTACTATCATTATTATCACGATTATTATTATTATTATTATTATTATTATTATTATTATTATTATTACTACTATTATTATTATTATTATTATTATTACTTTTATTTTATAGCTTCCACAATTTATTAACTATAACAATAATCTATGTGTAATAAGTTTTGCCAAAGAATTTTTTTTTATAAAAAGCTTTTAAACTGACTTTCCAATTGAGAAGCTGCGTGATAAGAGCCTAATTAAAAATTGGCAATTGTAGAGAAAAATAAAAAATTTAGAATAGAATTCAATCGTATATTGAATTTACCAATAATCAGTATGAGTGATAGAAAATCTTGTTGTACGGTTTGATATTACAATAATTATTATAAAAGTATTATTAGATATTTTATCGGGTATCAAAAAATAAATAAACTAAGTACCATTTTTTATATTGGTTCTTATTCCACGCAACTTCTTAATGAAGTTAACATATTGAATTCATGTTGAATAAAAATATACTGAAATAATCCAAAAGTAATTCATTACAGAAATAGTCTTGTCGCATTTAAATACCACAATAAAATAAAATGGAAAAACATTCAAATAATTAACAGTTTTGAATTTTATTCATTTTTAATAAATCTTGAATCTACTTATTGGTCAGTGTGATATTCTTATTCTCTGCGCCACTCTTGCCGAGTTTCGCTGTTGATACTTAAAAACAAATCTCTGTAAATCCTTTTGGAATAAAATATGAAGTTTATAATAATTGTGATTGTTATTATTTATTCACCTATGTCCATCGGTTTTTTCTTTTATTTTAAAAATCAACGAACATATTGAAATTCTGATAGATTAATAATTTTACACTTAGTTATGTTAACATATAGCAATTTATTCATTACAGTTATTTTCTAGCTTTCTAAAATTTTCTATTTATTTTGTGTACATACTGTTCCTCAGCCAACCTAAAGATTTATAAAAAAATACGTAAAAAGCCGCTTCCGCTATTCCGTTTCTTAAAATTTTAATAATTAAAAGCAATTAGTCAGACCTTGGGATCTGCCCGAGTTTTTAAGATAACCTCGTATTTTACAAATTTTTATTACAACGTGAAATTAACTGTATGAAATCAATCCTAACACGTTTCTTTTACTGTCAAGCTCTATC